AAGAGAATGGTCTATTTTAAGGCCGAAAAACAAAACTGTTATTGTTTTTGACGACAGTCGGGCAATTAAAGGTGCGTTGTGGGAGAAGTGAAAATTTTCATCGTGGAGTTATTGCCATAAAAATAATAGTTCCGTGCTCCCCCACCCTAACACGTCTGTCAAGGCCAGTAGGAATTTCCATCAAACCCAAGATGCGGCGGATCTACTGAAGGTTTGAAATTTGCAAACGAGCTTCAAGCTTATTTGATGCAAATTACCAGTGACAAAAGTGAACGACTCTGTTTCACTGTTAAGACACAGAAACTTTAATTGACAAAATCGCTTTACCTACATTGTAAGGTCGAGCGAAGAATGTTCTGTAAAACAAGTGATGATTATTTGAGACTAAGACTAAGGTATTTATACTGAAGAAACGGTTCTTAGTCATAATGGTATGACTAAGCGTGGCGTGAATTATACAGTCACGAAGAGGTAAATTACGCGACTGCAATTGTTGTCACGCGAACCTCGTACGATGCCTGTAGCGATCAGAATCGCTGTTTGAAGTTGGCGATCGTATTTAATCGCGTGCGCGCCGCTAGAGCGTATAAACTTTACATACATTGTCGCAAAAATGTCGGCCGAAGGAAACATGCCGACAAACGATGTCGCAAATGCGACACCTTCGTCGCACAATGCGATCGAGGACGCGCTCAATAAAATCCTCAAAGCAATTGAAGGACAAAAGAAAGAAATTAAGGAAAAGGAAGAACCGAAACAAGTTGAAAGCAACTCGAATAAGGTTAGAGAATTGCCCCCACCGGAAAGCCTCGATTACTCGGACTCAATGGAACCAAGCGAATTCATGGAGAAACTAAATCTCTTTTTCAAAAAACATGAGGGAAAGTTCTCGGAAGAAGAAAAGGCCAAAAGAGTATTATTACACATTCCTGACAGACTCCTTGAAAACTTCGACCTATCGAAGACAAATAAATTTAATTGGAAAGAAATAACATGCGATATTCTAAAAATTGATCTCGCAAGGGCAATAAGAAAACTCCTCGGAAGTCTTCGAATCTATGCTAGAAGAGGAGAAATCCGAAAACTTTACGAAGGAATAAGGAAATTTTGGAACTATCCTGGAACTTCGCAGGAAGACAAAATCAAATTGTCAATATACCTACATACTACGGATTCTCAATGGGAATATTTCTGGAACAATGACCTCTATAAAACAGACCCAATGACTCTTCTTGAGACTCTGTTCGATAGAGCGCCAGAAAGAATTCCTGAGAAGAGAAAGTCGGAGAGAGAAAATCTTCAAGTGGCAAAAGGAAAAGGATTCACGGCGAATAGTGGTTACAAAGGAAGACATTTCATTCCCAATTATAACCCGAAATACATTCGTCATAGCAATAATGAATCAAGTTCAAGCCAACCAAAATACAATTTCCAAAAGAAGGAAAATCCACACAAAAAATCGAATTGACTCGTGGATGTCAATATAAATGCACTGGAACTCCCAAGGAAAACCCAAAATAAAAATGACAACGGCCAAATCTTCGTGAACATTTTTATATACGAACTCAATATGGTCGAATCCGCACTCATCGACAATGGATCTAACGCTAGTATCTTGTCATTAGACTTTGTTAATTACTATCAATTGATTTACAAAGCACACAAGACTACTCAATATGCGTTCTGTGCGGGATACCAGAAGCTGAAAATTTTGGGAGAAATAATCATGAAGATTCGATTGGATACTAAGTCCTTTCACGTTCGATTCAAGATTATTGACGGAGTCAAACCAGACATTTTTATTGGCAACGATGTACTAAGGGAGCATAACATTGTCGTTTATCATGGAACTGGCGAAGTCAAGATTGGAAAAGAGACTCGCCAAAGTCATAATAATACAAATGTTATTCGCTTAAATTATTTACGAGTGGCGGAAAAAGAAGCGGAAGATTTACTATTCGAAGATGAAAATAATTACAAAATTTCAGAGATCGCAAATTTTATTCCAAAGGAATTGCATGACCAATTGGAAGCTTTTGCGCTTAAGGAAGCAGAATTGCCAGAACACTCTCTATTGGATATGGAAATTGAGTTTAAAGAACAACCGAGAGAGTTCAAGGCAAAATGCATTCCGCTAGGACCATTGAAACAAAAATCATGGAAGACAAGCTGGAAGAATTACTTAGAAATGGATACATTACTCGCTCAAGATCAAGCTTTGTCTGCAATACCTTCTTTGTCGCGAAGGAAGGCCCCGAAAAATTCAGAATGGTTGTAAATTATAAACCTCTGAATGAAGTGACAAAGACATTTCAGTTCCCACTGCCCTCGTACGCGGACATAATCACTCAGCTAGAAGGAGGATTAATATTTACAAAACTGGATCTAAAAAGCGCCTATCATTTAATCCGGATCCGAAAAGGCGACGAATGGAAAACAGCTTTCACCACAAAAATGGGCATTTTCGAGTACCAAGTTGTACCCTTTGGACTGAAAAATGCCCCAGCCTACTTTATGAGATTCATTTCAAATATCCTTCGAGAGTTCATAAACAAAAAATGTGTCGTATATATGGACGACATATTAATATTTTCAAAGGACGAAAAAACCCATATTGAAGATGTGAGGAAAATTGTGGCTACTTTACACAAAGCAAAATGCACAATAAATGCGAGGAAGTGCAAATTCTTCAAGGACGAAATAAAATTTATTGGCCACTATTTTACAAGGAATGGAGTACGACCAGACGAGGAAAGGGTCGCTTCGATTAAAAAATGGGGAAGGCCTAAGAACCCCAAACAGGTTAAATCATTCATGGGATACGTCAACTATGTCAGAGAATTTATTCCCGAAATCTCCGACATAGCGAAACCATTAAATGATTTGACTAGAAAAAATACAAAATTTAATTGGACGGAAAAGGAAGAAAAAGCGTTCGAAGAAATCAAGAAGGTTGTCTCAAGCGAAGTGCTTCTCCACTATTTTAAGCAAGGAAGAAAAACGCACCTTGAAACGGACGCATCCGACTTCGCAATTGGCGCTATTTTATCACAAGAAATAGAAGGGAAATTTCACCCAATTGCCTATTATTCACACGCATTGACAAGAACTCAACAGAATTGGTCAACTGCGGAAAAAGAACTCTATGCAATACTTTCTTCATGTCGCCACTGGCATTATTGTGACGTCAACAACGCTACAGCCAGTAGTGAGCGACCACTGCGACTTAAGTAATCGCCGAACTTCGGGAAGCAATTGTGGTCGCGACAAAGATCATACGAGGAGCTCATGGCCTTATCTGAAGTTACCCAATCACGAGCTAACGTGACTGCCTAACTAAGCCACACTTAGTCAGCGGACTAAGCTCGCTTCCTTGTTTTCTCCTATTTAAAACTTAGTGTTAGCTCCCAAATACACATCATTAGTTTTACAGAACATCCTTGACTCGGCCTTACAAACAGATTCTCGAAATACCCATACTTCATCCCGTGCTCAAAGAAATGCTCAGCTCCAGGACTCAGAAACTTCATGAAACGACATGTATTTCCCGAAACTGGCTTTCCATCAACAATTGTTAGTGACAGAGGCAATTTATTTACATCCGACATTTGGGGAGCATATGCTCAAACACATGGAATTCAGCTATGTTTACCTCAGGATATCACCCACAAGCTAACGGACAAACAGAACGGGTTAACCAAATTCTAGAAGTCTATCTCAGAAGCTATTGTTCAGAACATCCAGAACGGTGGCCAATTTACCTGTCAGCAGCAGCTTTCAATTACAATACAACGGTACATTCAAGCACGAAATTCACACCATTCTTCGTACATCATGGACGAGAAGCACGAAGTTCTGACATTGAATCACTCTCACTTCGCGCAAGGAAATACGCAAGCATCACAGAACTCGCCAGCATTCGAGAACAATAAAACAGAACCTTATGGATGCTAACGAGAAGTACAAGAAATTCTTCGATATGAAAGTACTCCCCGAGCCAACATTCCAAACCGGAGATCTCGTACTACTAAAGAAAGATTATAATCGCTATTGGAACCCGCGAGACAAATGGACACCAGATTCGAAGGACCATTTAAAGTCATCAGACGAATAGGAAATCTCAATTACGAATTGGATCTAAGTGCAACCCAACGCCAAGGAATACCAAAGAGCTTCCACGTCTCAGAGCTCGAAGCCTACAACTCTCGCCCACCTCTCCCACAGGACCATCGCGAAGACTATGGAATTGTAACTGGAATAACATTGATTAAAGATCACCGTTATCAAGACACTGAGCTACAATTACTATGCAACTACACCAAGTTACAACACGATCCCCACACAGGAGAACCTCAACACCAACCCGTCTCTGGCTGGCTCCCAGCCCTCGTGGTTAAAAGATGGGCAAGGCAAGAACTTATCAATTTTATGAAAAACAAAAAGATCAACAACATCTTTTACCCGAAATATTCTGCCCCTCGACGCCGACAAATTGCAACTTGAAATCTTACTTTTAGATTCGGATCGAATCTAAGGAGGGCGCTGTCACGGAGCAAATGAACTTATGTCATTGCCTCCGAGTACTTTTAAACTGGGAATGAAACATCATTCAACTGATTGGTTCTAAATTGAATGACTAAGCATTCGCTAGCATTCACTGCTATTACGAAGCAATTCCGAGTTATTGCTTTTACAAATGTATTGAATTTTATTTCTCAAAAATTAACAAACATTACAAATACAAATTAGTAACAAAAGATAGTATCAGCTGAATGGTTAATGTAAATACGCAGGAGTTCAATGGCTATAATCCGTTGAACACTACTTGTTCCTTTCAACAATAACTTTCCAGAACATTTGCGCGCATCATAACAATTAAGGTTTATCAACCGAAGCTTCGAAAGGTTAAAGGAAGTAAGTTATTCATTGTTTGAAGCCAACAAACAGGAATCCTCAATCGAACTAAACCTATCCGGCCTCGAACCGTGATGAAGGATCAGGAGATTCCACTCGGTGTAGCGGTCCCGTGGTGTTGTTATTGCGTTGTGAGTTCGAAGCTCGAACCCGGAGAGCTTAACAATTACAATCGTTACAGCAACCGTAGTGAATATCATAACACTTGGTTGTAAGACCCGCCTTCACTGTATTCAACAACCCTGGAACCAGAAGATCGTGTCTCTGTCTTCTCGTCGTTAACCCTGCACTCTCCCTTGTCGCCCCCAGTCGCTCGAGTATTATTAAACATGGATACCAGAACCCCGTCCCCAAATCCGTTCCTACACGGAGAATCACCATACCTGAAATTTTACTTGAAGCTAGGAGTCTACGCAGGAGAACGAGATTCAACCGTCTTAGAATCTTGGCTAAACGAATGGGAATTGACAACCAAAACCTTTCCCTTGTCCGCCCAACAGTTGGGCTGGGTGCTCACCCTTAAGCTAAAGGGCGGTGCACAACTTTGCTTTCGTGCCACATTACCGGCGCAGGAACACAACTCCTTGGAATGGGATAAAGTCGCTCGCGAGCTGAGGTCCTATTTTATACAGTCCGACGAGAAATGGGACCTTGAAAACCGTTGGCAACAATTGTGCCAAACAGAATCAGCTCGCTCATTCATCAGCGAGTTACTCAAGTTGCACCTTGTTCTAAACAAGCCAGAGGAGGAAGTCCTGCGCAAGATCTGCGCCATGTCAAGGGAGCCGTTGAGAGGAGAACTCCGGCTTCGTCGCCCAGGCAGCCTTAACGAGGCCATCACGCTGGCCAGTCACTTCGACGATGCTGGAGCCTTTGAAGGGAAACGAACCGGACACGGATTCTTACCACTCATGTCGCTACCGCCTGCCACCCAGAATTTTTCAGTACCAGCAAATGCTCGACCTCAACACTGTCCACCGCCCCCTTGGTTCAATTAAGTCCTCAAGGGCATAGCTGTAACACATTAAGCTTATTACTAAGCGAATGTGCGTCACCCTTACTCCCCAGAGGGAGCAACACCAAGAACGCTGCCAACGGACAGCGCTTACGGAGGCCTACGGCCTCCACGTTAAGCTGCGCGTTTTCATTAACGCGCAACACGTAAACGTAAACCCTGTGACGGGTTTTTACAAAACAGTATAAATAGTTAGAATAAATAATATTCATTAAGCTTTTTCCTACATACAGTCGTAGCCTTTACACTTGGTTGCGAGGCTTTAACAAATCGTTAAAAGCCTTAGGAACAGTCGGTGCCATTAGGAGGCGGAAATCCTAAAGAAAAAATTTTTTAATAAAATTTTATTACTTCGTCCTAAGAAAAGATGTCGGAACCAATGGCCCAGGACACAAACAACGAACAGCAGCCTATCTCTGCTGCCAGCACTCGCCCTACGAGAGTGTTTGGAGTCCCGTCGGCAGCATCAATTCCTGTCGCCCCAGCTCCCGCGCCGGTGCAATACGTTTCAGCACCACGGGAGGATTGGACGTGGGCTCCCAAGCCGTTTCTGTACGACGGCACGCCGGATCTGCTTGTTCTGCAGAACTGGATTCGCGCCGTTGAGCGATTCTTGCGAACCCGCGACATCGCTACCAAGAAGCAGGCTTGGACAGCCTACAATTTTTTGACAGGCGCCGCGCTAGACCGCTGCGACGTAGACCCGCGATTGCACCCAGGACTCGAGGAAGGCTCGCTCTCGTGGCTCGAGCTCAAGACCTACTTGAAGCGCTCATTTACCCCAGGCGACGCCCTGAAGCGATATCGGCTTCAATTCTATGAGTGCCGACAGAAAGGGTCGGCGCTCGACTTCATCACGGAGCTGGACCGATTCCGTACGGTCCTCAAGTTGGATGAATGGTTGGTCCTCGACCAACTGGAGCGCGGAGCGAAGCCCAATGTCGCCCGCGAACTTCGCATGAGAAGGCCCGCGAACCTGGACGAGGCAATCCACGTTGCGCTCTCGGTCCAAGAAGATGTCCAAACTCGGTGCGAAGACGGTGGTCCCTTCAGAAGAGCCTGCAAAATCGGTTATCTCTCCCGGTCAGATAGCTTTGATAGTTAGTGAAGTAATGAAGCAATTACAACACTATTTTTGAAAGCGAGGGAGAAGAGAGCGGGCCAGAGGAGGCAAGAGACACAGACAATGAGGACCAGGACGAAGAGGAAAACGAAGACAACACATGTAACGAGCCAAGTTAATTATACTGAACTTGCGCTCGTTCCTGCATTGATATACGCTCCCCAGACGGAAATCAACGACTCTATCTCCGTGTGGCTGGCTACTAGCACGCAAGACTTGCGCAATACTGTCGTGCTTATCGTATGCTTGCAATTAGACAATTTCCCGTCATTCCTAAGCCTTATTGCAGCATTTTCATAGTATTTAAGCCAGCAACAGAACTTACAATAAAATCACCTTTAATTTCCCAAAAGAACCAAGTTCCACTCTCTTACAACACAGGAATACTAGTGATGTCGGTGCCGGAGCCAGGCGAAAAGGCTCAAATTGGTGACCTCGACGACACAGAGGTCGGAAACAGAACGGAAGAACTCAACGAAGAGAACATCCAGGACGCGTTGGACATTCCACTGCCTGTGGTCTGTCGTCAACTAACAGTGGTCCCCTGGCGGTCGTTGAAGTGCCTGCCAGAACTGTCATGGACCATGCCTTAGTCCAGTGTAAGGTCGTGGTCCATGGCCGAGTGGTACTGGGGAGACTGTACCAGATTCGAGTGAGCTGCTATGACTTTTTGGCGCTCCGGTTCGAATCCTGGGTTTCTCCCCCAGTAAGCTCGGCACGTGCTCGGCTAGTTGCGAGTCTATTGCAGCAGCTACCGGCACGGAACACCCAAGTGCCGCGTGAGCCAATCGGAGGCCACTCCGCCTTCCCCGCTCCGGAACAACAATGTTCCCACGAGTCTTACGACGAGCGGACGGCGATAGCATCTCCGCGTGGCTCTGTAGATCCGATCATAGCGTGATCGGGTTAAGCACGCCATACCTTATCAGTATGGCCTGTTAACCCCGCACGCTACGGTATCTACGGTGATTAAACTCTTCCGAGGCTGTTTCGTCTTCGAAGGCCTTGCTTGCGGCCCTCAGCACATCTGCTGGTATTCCCAGCTCTTCCTCTTCTGCCTGGAAGGCTCTCTGCGCGGCGTCCAGTACTTCAGCCGGCAATCCTGTTTCCTCTTTGTGTTCTGCGAACACACTGCGAGCTGCTTCCAGTATTTTTGAAGCCAAGTCTACTGCCTCTTCCTCTTCCCCATGCTCTTCTGCCCCTTCCTGAACCATTGTTGCGCACACATCCAAACTGTTACTGTTGCTAGTAGAATAGGATCGTAAATAAGATTTTATTTCTCACCTAAGTCTCTAACTAGTTGGTCAACTGGGTCTACATCCTCCGAAGAAGAAACTGTAGCTGCATTGACCCTCGCAACTGGCTTCGCCCTTGGTTTCTTGGGCTTGCCTTTGGAACAGTTCTTGGCGATGTGTCCTTTTTCGCGGCAGCGGAAACAACGGCCTTCGCGAAACAAGGTGAACACATCGCCCGAGGAAGCGCGCAAAACTTTTAACGCGTCCACCAGCATTGGGTCGCTTGGTGGTTCTTCCTTTCGTGCGCTACTGCCGGACGCGTAGCTTGTCCAGCAGTAATTCGGCGTGCTGTTGTCATCCTCGGCTGCGTAAGCAATGCGGATTGCATCGCCCAGCGTGGCCGGGTTGAACGACCGGAGGTTCATTCTGACTCGGGGCTTGCACCCACGAATCAATTGGTCCTTGACCGCATCATTGTCTAACGACAAGATGGTCTGGAACCGGAGGAGGGCAGACACAAATTCATTGACTGTGCCCGTTTGGTGGCAGTCAAGGAACCTGTGCCTGTAGAGCATCAGGGCGTCTGGAGGAATAAAGAACTCCTTCAGACGCTCCTGGAATTCACTCCACGAGATCTCATCGTTGGAGAGAGCCTCGTAGAGCTCGACGTCGGCATCGACCCTAGCCTGAGCGTCGTCCTTCAAGAAGTAGTAGGCCGTAAACGCGTGTGCTTCTTTCGGGATCCTGCGAGCCCGGAGGAAACGCGTAACGGCCCGGAACCAACTGTTGAGCGTAGGCAGGTCTCCTCTGCCATCGTAGCTCCAAGGTTCCTTTGCCCACGACACGTCGTAGCGACGGGTGGACGAGGCGTCCGACTTGTAGAATGGGGATGTCGACGTGACATCCTCCATTGGCTCTGGTTGATCCATAACTCAGAGCAGCGCACAATCCTAGGTAGGAGAAAAGATAAAACACAAGAAAAAATTGAAAAACTCGTTGACAACGGTCAACACTTCCGCCAAGTCTGGCAATCCAAAAGAGATTCCGCCTCTCTTTCCTGGCAATGATACTTGATTTGACGAGCCTCGCAACCAAGTGTAAGCCCAGGCTCTGTAGTAAGATTAAGTATGAATAATATTACTGTTTTCTAGCTATTTATAATATTGCACATTAGCGAGAACTAATGTGCAATCGTTGTTGAAGCCTTACGGCTTCGTAGTGCAGCGCCGTAAGCGCTGCGTGGAGTTCTAGTGTGCAGTGCACACTTAGGGGAGTGCCGTCCACCTCTATCGACACCAAGTCGATAGACGACTACTGGAACGGCCTCCAGGCCTTCTGAGTGGTGGCTGGGTCTAAAGAGGGGAGGGTGTCATGGACCATGCCTTATTGCAGGTAAGGCCGTGGTCCATGGCCGAGTGGTACTGGGGAGACTGTACCAGGTTCGAGTGAGCTGCTATGACTTTTTGGCGCTCCGGTTCGAATCCTGGGTTTCTCCCCCAGTAAGCTCGGCACGTGCTCGGCTAGCTGCGAGTCTATTGCAGCAGCTGCCGGCACGGAACACCCAAGTGCCGCGTGAGCCAATCGGAGGCTATTCCGCCTTCCCCGCTCCGGAACAACAATGTTCCCACAAGTCTTACGACGAGCGGACGGCGATAGCATCTCCGCGTGGCTCTGTAGATCCGATCATAGCGTGATCGGGTTAAGCACGCCATACCTTATCAGTATGGCCTGTTAACCCCGCACGCTACGGTATCTACGGTGATTAAACTCTTCCGAGGCAAGAGTGATCACGTAAGCAGCATAGCATAAATAGTGGACAAGTTCCACAACTAATAATCATCAATTAATCATCTTATCAACTTGAGCACCAACCGGACTGTTGGTGACTCCGTTATACTTGGTTGCGAGGCTCCGTTCTTCCTCGCTTGGCCCGTCTCTTGGCCCGTTCCGCTCTCCCACTCTCTCTCTCTCTTGGCCCGTCTCTGGCCCGCTCCGCTTGCTGCTCCCTCAACTTTTCGAGCATGTCGTCTTTTGGTCTTCCGGACTCTCCTTCCTCTCCCGCGGCCGTTGCCGCCGATTCCGCTTCCCTGCCGTCCGTTTCTCAAATTGAGAAACTTCCAAAATATGACGGCAGAAGAGATTCAGCTGTGCTGGACAGCTGGATCTACACGATGGGCAACTACCTCAAGTTGCTTCGTGTCCCCTCCTCTTCAGTTGCTTTCGTGGTTTCCTTGCGCCTGGATGGCGCCGCTCTCCGTTGGTTTCGGTCCCGCTTCCCGGAGGAAGCCCATCCCACACTCAAGTGGGATGAAATCTCTGCTGGCCTCGTGTCAGCCTTTCGTCCAATCAACGACGAAAGGTTGATGCGAAACGAATTCGTGCGCTTGCGCCAAACTGGCAAGGCAAGCGAATTCGTCGATCGTCTGCGCGAGTTGCAGATCGTCCTGTCTTTGTCGGATGATCTGCTTCTCGACAAGCTCTTCAACTTCACCGAGCCGCAGATCCAGCGGGCCCTTCTGGCCCAAAACCCAAAATCATTGGACGAAGCTTGTCTAATAGCCCAGTCCTTTGATTCGTCTGTGGTTTCCGCGGCTTCCTCCTCGGGATTTCCGGTTTTGTTCCTCTGGTCCTTCTGGCTCTTCCTCCCGCGCGGTTTCCTCGGGTCCGGTCTCAAATGACCCGATGGATATTGATGCCGTTCGGATTTCTCCTCCAACGAGTCCGAACGAGCTCAACGCCGCCGCCGCAACGCCTGCTTCCGCTGCGGACAAGTCGGGCATTACTCTCGAAATTGTCCGCAAAGGCGTCGTTCCCAGGCTGGCAACGTACCAGTGCAGTACGTTTACTTCCCAATGCCTATGCCTGGGTATCCCTCGTTTGGTTATGGAGCTTATCCCTCGGCTCCTGCTCCTGCTCCCGCGGCTTTTCCTGCCGCTTTTCCAATGATGGGCCAGAACCCCGGAGCAAATTTAGATAGTCGTAGTAATAGAAACGATAATAGCTATTATTCGCCGTGTGGGCCGGGATTCAGGCCTCCTTCTCCGCCAGAACTGGAGAACACTGGACTAAGGCATGGTCCATGACAAGTCCGGTGCTAGCCTCCACCCCAGAGGTACTAGCATCTATCAACGGCTTCCCAGCCCGCGCTCTTCTAGACACGGGCTGCGCAACGTTCTTGATGTCTCGTGACTTCGCGACCAAGCACGGCATCAAGACGTATCGGATCAAGGACGTGCCTATCTCATTGGCCGTCGAGGATCAGTCCCGTGCTCCGTTGTCCATTAACGAGCAGACTGATCGACTTGAACTCCGAATTGGCGCAGAGAAGTTCCGCCACGCTTTCTACGTGGCCCCGACGTCTCGGTTTGACGTCTTGCTCGGCATTCCCTTTTGGAGGGATGCGAAGCCTGTCCTCGACTGGCAAAACAGCCAGGTCGTTATTGGGATTCCCGCGTTCAGCTCGCCAATACGACCACGCCGGTCGACATCGACATCGAAATGATGTCCTTGAGGGAGATGGCAAAGGCATCCGGGACACCCGGAGCGTCGACTTTGCTTTTCTCGCGTTCATGGCTTCGCCCAGCAAAAAAGGGGCTCACGGGGCGCCTGATTGGGTATTACGGGAATACCCTGATATCAGCGCCGAGAAGCTTCCCCGGGGCTGCCGGTTTCACGCTCGGTAGATCACAAGATCCCCACATTCCTGGGGCTGAACCGCCCTTTCGCGGGATCTACCGTCTGGCTCAACCTGAGCTGGCCGAGCTGAAGCGGCAGTTGGACGAGTTGATGGCTGGGGGAAGATCCGACCTTCGACTTCCCCCTACGGAGCTCCTGTTCTTTTCGTCAAAAAGAGAACGGCAAGCTTCGTATGTGTATCGATTACCGGGCTCTGAACAATCAGACCATCAAGAATCGGTACGCACTGCCTCGGATCGACGAGTTGCTTGACCAAGTCTACAAGGCCAAGTACTTTTCGAAACTCGACCTCCTGTCTGGTTACCACCAGATCCGGGTGCGGAAGAAGACGTGCCGAAGACGGCATTCAGGACCCGCTACGGGCATTACGAGTTCTTAGTGATGCCCTTTGGTCTGACGAATGCCCCGGCAACGTTCCAGACCCTGATGAACGACATCTTCAGGGATCTGCTGGATCAGTGTGTTGTTGTCTACCTGGACGACATACTGATCTTTTCCGAGACTAAGGAGAGCACGACCGGCACCTCCGTCTCGTCCTAGACCGACTTCGGGAGCACAAGCTCTACGCTAATTGGGAGAAGTGCTCGTTCTACCTTCCGAAGTCGAATACCTAGGGTTCATTGTCGGCCACGGGCAGCTCAAGCCGAATCCTGAGCTTGTCCGGGGCGTTGCGGAGTTTCCTCGGCCCGCCACCGTGAAGGAACTCCAGTCGTTTCTCGGCATGGCGAACTTCTACAGCAAGTTCGTCAAAGCTATGCCGAGATTGCCGCGCCGCTTACGTCCCAGGCCGGCACAAACGGGGTGAGTCCAACATAAGCCCATTGTTTGGACTCCAGCGCTGGAGCGAGCTTTCGCTCGCTTAAGGAAAGCTCTGTTCTTCTCCAGTGCTGAAGATCCGGACCCGCACCAGCGTTTGAAGTCACGACTGATGCGAGTGAAAGCGCAAGGGCATTGGCGCAGTCCTGTCACAAGACGGCCATCCCTGCGCCTTCGAGTCCAAGAGCTTGATCCTGCCGGGCCGGCACGAAACGGGGTGAGTCCAACAATAAGCCCATTGTTCACGCCTTGAAAATGGCGCGCCTTCCTTCTTGGCAAGAAGACCGTGGTGTACACTGACCACCGGTCTTTGGTCCACCTGGCGACTCAGAAGGAGCTTAACAGCCGCCAGCGCCGGTGGATGGACTTCTTAGCGGATTTCGACTTGGAGATCCGCTACAAACCAGGCAAAGACAACCACGTTGCCGATGCCTTGTCGCGAGTTCGCTTACTGGCGCTCGCGACTGGATCCTTGGCGGATGGCGACAAAGAGACCATCCGACGGGCTTACACCAAGGATCCCGTCCTCTCCTCGATCTGGGGCATCTGAAAGAGGGGAGGGAGCCTAGGCAGAATTCGAACCAAGTGTTCTACTGCCTAGGTCAGGATGGCTTGCTCTACTTCCGGTCAGAAGCAAGCCAGCCCTGCGGTTGTGCGTGCCGGTGACGAGATCAAGTCGCAGATCTTGCACGACCATCACTCAGCGCCAATCGCAGGGCACACAGGAGCCTCGGCCACATGGGGTAAGGTGGCGAGGAGCTTCTACTGGCCGCGTCTGGACAAAGACGTGCGCGACTTCGTGAGCAAGTGCCACGAATGTCAGATGACGAAGGTGCCCCGCTCGGGTGTCCAGGGCCTTCTCCAGTCCACGGAGATTCCGTCTCGGCCCTGGGAAGTCATCTCGATGGACTTTGTCGGGCCATTCCCGACAACGGCTCGAGGTAACGACTACATTCTCGTCGTAGTCGACCTCCTCACCAAGATGAGCCGGTTCATCCCGATGCGGAAACCTTCACAGCCAAGCAAGTCGCGCGGCTGTTCATCCAGCACATCTTTGCCACCACGGCTTGCCGAACTCGATCATCAGCGATCGAGACCCGCGGTTCACTTCGCAGTTTTTGGGAAGCGTTGACTGCGAATTGGGGATTCGGCTGAGGCGCTCCACGGCGAACCATCCGCAAACGGATGGGCAGAGCGAGAGAACGATCCAGACGTTGCAGCAACGGCTGCGGCCTTACACGCTGGATCCGAAAGTGCCAAAAATTGGGACTTGCTCTTGCCGCTGTTGGAGTATGCCTACAACGACACCGTCCACTCTGCGACGAAGGAAACCCCGTTCTTCCTGAACTACGGGTTTCATCCTCGCGGAGCCTCTTGCTCGGCCGCGTGCAATATTCCCGCGGCTGAGTCCTTCGTAGAGAACCTCGACCGCGCCCTGGTCAAGGCGAAGGACTTGCTTGCCGAAGACAAATTCCGGCAAATGGCGATCTCCGATCGTCACCACAGGCAAGTCCCTCTACTGATGGTGCCAGGATCCTATGTCCTGGTCAAGAGGAAAAAAGAGTCGATGACTAAGCTCGAACGACTCTACGACGGTCCGTTCCGGGTCCTTGGCTTAGTGGGCCCGAACGCAGTACGGATCGAGTTGCCGCCTCGATCTAAGGCTCACAACGTGATCAACGTATCGCGTGTGAAGCAATACCGCGGCGTCCCTCCAGAACGCCCTGGCCCCATCGACGACGACGAAGTCGAGCCGCGATGGGAGTGGACTACCTCTACGACCACCGGAGTCGTAATGGGAACTTAGAGTTCCGAGTCCACTGGAAGGGCTACCCGGCGGAGGACGACTCATGGGAGCCGTCCACCTCTATCGACACCAAATCGATAGACGACTACTGGAACGGCCTCCAGGCCTTCTGAGTGGTGGCTGGGTCTAAAGAGGGGAGGGTGTCATGGACCATGCCTTAGTCCAGTGTAAGGCCGTGGTCCATGGCCGAGTGGTACTGGGGAGACTGTACCAGGTTCGAGTGAGCTGCTATGACTTTTTGGCGCTCCGGTTCGAATCCTGGGTTTCTCCCCCAGTAAGCTCGGCACGTGCTCGGCTAGCTGCGAGTCTATTGCAGCAGCTGCCGGCACGGAACACCCAAGTGCCGCGTGAGCCAATCGGAGGCTATTCCGCCTTCCCCGCTCCGGAACAACAATGTTCCCACAAGTCTTACGACGAGCGGACGGCGATAGCATCTCCGCGTGGCTCTGTAGATCCGATCATAGCGTGATCGGGTTAAGCACGCCATACCTTATCAGTATGGCCTGTTAACCCCGCACGCTACGGTATCTACGGTGATTAAACTCTTCCGAGGCAAGAGTGATCACGTAAGCAGCATAGCATAAATAGTGGACAAGTTCCACAACTAATAATCATCAATTTCATCTTATTCTCAACTTGAGCACCAACCGGACTGTTGGTGACTCCGTTATAGGACTGGACACCAAGGATCCACAAAACATAGGCTTCTCCAGTTCTGGCGGAGAAGGAGGCCTGAATCCCGGCCCACACGGCGAATAATAGTTATTACCCGATCTATTACTATGGCTATCTAAGTTGGCTCCGGGGTTCTGGCCCATCATTGGAAAGGCAGCAGGAAAAGCCGCGGGAGCAGGAGCAGGAGCCGAGGGATAAGCTCCATAACCGAACGAAGGATACCCAGGCATAGGCATGGGGAGGCAAACGTACTGGATTGGCACGTTGCCAGCCTGGGGGCGACGCCTGTGTGGACAAATTCGGGAATAATGCCCGACTTGTCCACAGCGGAAGCAGGCGTTGCGGCGGCGGCGTTGAGCTCGTTCGGACTCGTTGGAAGACGAAAT